ACTGAAAGGGAATGTCTTTTTTGGACAAAAAACACATCAATACAAGATTATGTGTGCAAGGTTAGATTTATAGAACGTACATGACTGCTTAATTCTGTATTTTTTTTTAATAATCATGTCGCATGTGAAATGCAGGAGACATTTTAGTTCGCCCATTTCTTGTTTACCGATCTTGAACTTTTTGTCTGGAATGCGATACAGACAAAGATTAAATTTTACTGGTAACAACCAAGAGGCTTGAATCAGGAAGGCTTGGCTATTTTAAACTTCGTGAATAACATTCTTTTCAAGCGTAGACTTTATTCGAGTCTAATAAACGTAAGTGAAATGTATTTTACAACAATTCGTATACAGCAAGTTTTATGCTTTTCGACTTCACAGTGAAACATTTTTAGCATCATATTTGAAATGGCGCGATCGATACAAGATGTCGGACAGGAAATTGGGTCTGTAAAAATGTTTGTAGGTTCAGTTAGGCAATGTGTGGACCAAAACATCGCCCAATATTTGAAACATCGCTGATGGGCGGGGTTTAGGATGGGCGGGGTATCAGCCGAATCCGGTAAATAATTTAAACACAAATTTTGAAAAGAGTGTTCAGTTTATAGTACATGCAAGAGTTCAATCTGTTTAGTGGGATTTAGAGCTTACAGTACGGGGTTTTTAAAAATAGTGTTTCGATTTGGTAGTTAGGTGCATGAATGTAGCATTATTTGACAGCCAAACATTGAGACAAATCAGGTTGCACTCTTTATAATTTTAATCAAAATGTGATCACATTGTAACACTTCGTTTACTTGGCGTCTTTACTACAAACTACGAGGACAAGAAAGCCTGATCGTGCCCGCCGTCCGTGTCAGTGTTTCAGATTCCGATGTAATATTGGTTATGACAAACTATAATTGTCACAACAGACCCTACCAGAAGGGAACGTCACTCAGCGATGATTAATCTCAAATAATCATAAAGGAAATTGTGGAGAGTGGTGGTAATATGAATACCGACGAGGTACTGAGAGCAGTGTTCCCTGCAGTAGGGCGTAAGTTTTCAATAACCGCAGCCGGGGTCCGAAAAGTATGGCTGAGATACGTACGAACAAGTTCGACAAAACCATCAGTTTCGAATAGGGGGAGACCCACCAAATTACTGCATGGAAATTAAACATTTCTCAAAGTTGAAGCTCTTAAGCGGATAGGCCGTCAATCACTTAACGCGAGATGCAGGAGAGACTTCAAGAAGTATTGGCAACAAACGTGTCTACGCTTTCCAACGCTGTTCGCCACAGATTTACAGGTGGAGACTGGACATGGAAGAGATTAAATACTCCAGCCACAAAAAGATTCACCGAACGAAATATGATTTACACTCGAGAATTTATTGATGAAATGCGTGTTTTAGATCAGCATCGTTTAAAATACATGGATGCAAGTGGCTTCAATGTTTCGGTTGCTAATCCTAAATACGGACATTTGTTAATTTGGACTCCGCGTATTGAAATCGTGCGCCATCGTAGGACACCAAATGTCACGTTGAATATCGGGGTGTGATACATGCGAACACTTTGGATAGAGCGTCAAACTCATTATGTGAGTTTTATTGAGGACTGCACCACAGCAATAACAGTTATTGGAGAACCAGCTTTACGAGCTGGCGATATTTTAATTGTCGACAATTGTCCAACGCACCACGTCGAGGTGGCGGATGACATCATGTACTTCGCCTGTGGCTATATCGACAAGGGATCGGCGTGATGTTTTTGCCAACATACTCTCCTCATCTCAACCCAGTAGAGAATGTTTTCACCAAGTTGAAAACGTTATTCCAACGATTTCATATGCGGACACTGGCATGGGAAAACCTTCATTTCGCAATCTACAATGCAATTCGCCAGGTAACCATAGCTGACATTGAGAGATACTTCCGGAATGTTGGTTATTTACAGATATACAGATGTAACCGATAGTGAAATTATTCTGCAACTCAAACCAAACCCAACGGTTCTTTTCAGGGCCACAACATCCTCCAAAAAGAGATAATACTTTAAATTTACAAAAAATGTCCTTTTTATTTTATTGATTCTTCACTATTGTCACACAAATGAAACAAATGTGGGGTAACAAAACCAGTTTTCTTGAAAAAAAACGAGGGAGAAATTTGACTGAACAAACTGTGTTCATTAAAATTTGATGTAGTGTAGAGGATATTTTTTCATGAAAATTTTATTAATATTTATTTTCACTATACTGTATTATCATTTTTTATCATTTTTATTTTGTTCTGAGATTGTTTTATTTTTACTGACTGCTATCATAGACCGTCTAAAAGGGTCTATGCTGCTATTTAGGCGACATAATAAAAAAAAGTGATAAAAAATAAAAATATTTTCATCAACCAAAAATATTAGCCCGTACACTACCGGTACATCTCATTGTGATCAGATTGTCACATTTGATTTAGAGTGCTACTTAGGCCACATGATGAGAAACATTACATACATAATATGTTGCAATAAATAAGGCAGTTATATTGTAATGTGGCATTAGCCTATACTTCATTCTGTATACTGCCTAGTTGTTAATTGAAACACAATTTTTAAAACCCCTGTATTTATGGAACTACTCCATGAAATACTAAATTAGTTAAGTTAATCTAATAATTACAAGTATTCTGCTTCAATGCAGCCTTTATTCATATTAAATGAAAGATTCACATTCAATGTTTGGATGTTGAAACAATAATGACTACCACCATATATCTAAATTATGGTAGGACCTGTACACATTTAGGACACTGTCAAAATAAATTTACAGCATAATACCTTACTATCATTGATGGATACAATTTTCATAATGCATATAAGTAAAAATAACATCTACAAATTCAGAGCTGAATACAGTTTAATTTCAAATCAACTGAGGTGAGCACACACTAAGATATAGCCCTTCAATACATGTACAAAGGTTCTGCCGCAAGACTGCAACTACCAGTACATTAGACAACAAATGCAATTACTGTATTTATTCTATAATGAAACGCATCTCCAATAGAAGTGCACATGAACAAAATATTGCATTTATTGTAGCATAGACACACCTCAGAACATTTATGTAAGCGTATATACAATACTAATAAAGAAATATACACATTATAGATCCATCTTTATATAAATCCATACTAAATACAACCAATGTAGTAGGAATTAACATTAATTGGTATACATTTCTTTACCTGGTCTGCGTGCGCATGACGACCAATCACAATAGGGTATGTCCATCCAGGTACTAATCTGGGAATGTTCTTGCATATAATGGCTTCTCTAAACACTGTACCTCCGAGAATATTACGAATCGTACCATTTGGCGACTTCCACATTTTCTTTAATTTAAATTCTAACGAAAAACAAAAAACATATTACTGTAACTTCAAATCAACAAATATACATTTATGTTTTGTATATAAACCAATGTCTTTCCATAAACACAACAGTGTTGTTACACACTATAAATAAATAAGAGTTACATCTATTTGTAAAAATAGACGTGTAGCAGTTATATTTACAAATTATAGACATGTTTATTTTTAAGTGATAAGAGCCCCAAATTGTTTCAGTGTTTTCACTATTCCAGAATAGCAGAAATGCTTGATTTTGATGAATTTTGACATTAAAATGACCACTATTTGGTCATCTTTAATCTGATGGTCAAACAAATCCATGTACATATATGCAACTACCGGTAGATGTATGAAGAATATATAAGATTTGAACATGATCAATCAAGATACAGCTTCAGAACCACATTCTTTTAAAACAAAATGATGCGTACATGTATCCCAAAATACATATAAAATGTGTGTATAAAGTTTGCATATTATCAGCTGAGGCAAGTCCAAGATACAGGTCTGGACAGACAGACTGACAGGTCTGTACAGATGGATGCACGTACACAAGTCCCAGTTTTGGGACATGGATATAGTTGCAGTTATTTCTATATACCTGGTGTGTAATGGGAACTAGACAAATCCGTATATCATTACAACATGCAGACTGAAGTAGCATAACATACAGCTTTAATAACTAAAAGATCAAAAATACCACAACAGCAAGATATATTATATATTCAACATTTAGTATTTATTAAATAATGGTTTTGAATAAATGCATTATGTGGATCGACAGAACATCATCTGAAATCTACCATATATGACACGTTTTTACACAACAGTCATTCGACTGAAAGCACAAAATTTCGTAGCAGTGCGTTCATTAGGAGCATCAGCGAGACACAGTGACTATCACAAAATATTGTGGCAAACTGTTATTGGTAAAAATTAAATTAAAGTTTACATGGTACTATGAAATGAGTTACAAGTTACAGGTCAAATTACAGAAACAGAAATCACTGATAAACTGACGATGGCAATGTGTGATCTAACCTAGTAAACATAGACATTAAGAGGAAGAACTAGTTAATACTATTTATATTTACAAATACCAGTAGAATTCCTACTCACCTTCAACCCGTTTTTCATCCGGTGTTATAGTCGCACATTTAATACCAACGTTACATTTTTTTATTGCTTCTGCACAGTCTATTGTGACTAAAGTGAGAAAATGTAAAAAAAAATATATATTGGTATCCCACATATTGAATATATTTATTGTAAACCAGTACACACTAATAATGTATTTTAGCAGATTTAATCTTTTTTTTTGCGTAATAGATGATTACCCTTGTACACTTGGAACATTTTGCTATCAATAAAATAAGCAAATATAAATCCCAGTGAACTGAGAATATTTTATTATAATATTTTGAAATACTAAAATAGTTCTCATTATTTCAAACATTTACCCACCCATGTGGAACATGAAGAGATGTGAAGTATTATTTTTTTGCTTTATAGTGGAAATTACTGTAAAATACTTTATTTTAGCTCAAAATAGATTATTGAATGTAAAATAAAGAGAAAAAAAATGTATATTTGCTGGATTTTATTTTCATTGAATCATCCCCTCTTCAGCGAAAATAGCAAAAATAAAGTATTTCACAGTATACAGTTTTCAAATGCATGTTCATGAACTGTCTGTTTTAAAATGGCTTAGTACGAAATATTCAAGAAAACAGGGTTGTAATGTTAAATTTTCATATTTAATTTTTCATATGTCGCTTGTATTTTTCGTGACTCATTTCTTCATCAGAGAAAAAAAACGTTGGACGTTGGACAAAAAAATTTTTACGAGAACACTAGAATGCCTTCACAATGCGATGCAACCATAACACATACATGTACTGCACAACACACTGTGAAATAGTGAAATATTTACCTTGATCACTTGTGGCATCTCTGTTCTCAATTCCTAAATCATAGCTTTGAATATCTAAATCCATATAAGGAAAAATTAGCTTCTCCTTGATCTGCTCCCAGATGATTCTATGGAGAAAAGTAAGAACAATTGAGTTTAATCTCTAAAACTGAGAATTTGCTGATACTTTGTAAAAGTAAAATTGAAATCATTGCTCTACTATAAGTGATTATTGAGTTAATATATGGGACTCTATAAGGAAAGGGTGAAACAATACCCTCTCAATTACAAACACATTTTTTTGAAACAATGCATTGACAACTCCATTTTTCAAAGATAAAGGAAGTGGGTTACTGACTAGAGGCTTATATCAGTTTTATGCGAGTCACTGACCTCTGACATATTTTAGTTTGTATACTTTGCCCTGTACTGAAACAGCAGATAGAAGTGTTGTCATGTGTTCTCACTGCCATGTGTCTACTTTGAACCCATATCCTCCTATCATAGCACACAAATTAAACAGCAGATAGAAGTGTTGTCATGTGTTCTCACTGCCATGTGTCACCTTTGAACCCATATCCTCCTATCATAGCACACAAATTAAAACAAAATACTAACTTCCTCTGTTTTTTTCCAAAACTGTTTTGACATGTACATTGTGACAAGTGATTTTTATTTTTAAAACATTTTGTTTGAATCACCTAGTTTCCAAACAAAAAATTTTCCCTCACGGAATCCCTAAATCAAATATAAAGATACCTTGGTGATTTTGTTATCAAAACCAGAGAGACTATGTCAAAACTGAGGTTAGTGACAACTATTTTTGCTAATATCTGTGTATCCCACAAAAAAAACCTTCATTTATAAGGTAGTTTTGGCTACTATTAAAACATGATCAGATCTCATTTACTTGACTTTTATAATATGGATTTACTATAATCAGATATATTGTCACCAAACTAATTTTGTAGAAATGTAAATAATGCTGTAACATGGAATTTTTTTGTTCAGTGAGGTTTTTATTCAAAAAAAATATTTCATACTGGATAAATTTAAATTTATTTTATCATACAGATATATTATAGGTATTCTTATACTGCATTACAGTGACAGTGACAAAATATAATTTATGAACACATTAACTGTTTGTCTGACTCAATTCATGAAATTCATAATGCCACAGGAGTAATTATAAATCAAAGTAGAAATTAATGCAATTAGATACGTGTGAGTCTGTGAGAATTTATTTTTTATTGGTGGATATTTCCTGTCAGCAATCATATCATTTTAGAATGTGCAGAATGTTAATTCAATTCATATTTCGGGCACATTACTAGTATAATATTTCCTGTATTATGAAAAGCATAAACATAACAACAGCTGTTGATGGCTGATATGTTACCTTGTAACATTGAAATGAAATGCTGAGATTAGAGGAACCAGCATACTACTCATTATGTGTCACACAGAGTATCAGCTGTGCGTACATGCAAAGTAAATATGCTAAGAGCAATGTTGCAGCTCTCAATAGTTATCGAGTCACATATTAAACTGTACTATGGTATTTTTGTCTGCGGTATTCATGACAAAATTTTAGAAAAGGTAAATAAATGAAAATAAAAATCTAGTATGACTTTGATGTTGTTTTGTTATCACAAATCTAGTACATTACCAGTAGACAAAACAAGTCTGTACTGAAACCTACAGTACCATATGAAGTACCAAAGTGAAAGTCGCTATCACATACATAAGAATATCACATATCTCAGAATAAGTGCTCATACCCTTCAAATCGAAAGGGGCAGATATAATAACATTTTAGCTGAGGACCGAATTTGCCCAGTTTGTGACAAACAAGAAATTGAAAACGAAAAACATTTTCTTCTCAATTGTGATTTATACAAGAAGGAACGAGAAATCATGATCAAGAATATTAAATACAATATAAGCAAATTGGGGACGGATGACGAAAAACTTACAAATATACTAAAAATTAAAAATGACAAAACAATCATTGAACTAGGAAAATTCATCCACACTTGTTTCAAATTACGACAAGAAAAAATCTTAAAATGCCAGTTGCCTCAACCAACCGCCAAATAATTTAATTTTATTTTTTATTTTCTATTGTCTTTGAATGTCTTGTTTTTTTTTTGTTTTGTTTTTTTTTTTTTTGCTATCTTTTTTGTATTACTTTATTGTATTTTCAACTAAGATCCCACTCCGGGATACGGTTTCAATAAAGATTATTATTATTATTACATAGTGCATTTTCTTTTATTCTATTACATATGACTGTGCTTCCAATTACTAAGGCTTCTTTCCCTGTAACTAAACTGGCTATTTTTTTCTCAATTTATTAATTATTGATCCATTAACATCAAGTTTCATGAAAATTTTTATTTATAACATATTTTAACATTTTGACATATTGTTTCAATATGTTAAGTTTAGAAAAGACTGGAAGAAATTTTTAAACAGGTAATTTTTTACCCCCCCCCATAGAGTCTCATATATTAACACTGTAATTTGTGTAAAGTAATAATAGTATACTAGTAACCTTTATCTCAAATATTTGGACCATATGATAGTCATATGACCGCCAGTATAAAAGCAAAGTATCAGCATGGAGGTATGTTTATATGTATCAGCATGGAGGTATGTTTATACCTCCATGGTATCAGCAATTTCCAAAGACTTTTGTGAAACTGTATTGTATTGAGTAAATAAATGTAAACTAAATAAACTTTAACCTCATACTTTGGACTGGTACATTTTGAGTGTATAGTTACAACTCACGTGAATAACATGTCCTCACGTGTGACAAATACAATGGTTTGTTCATGTGGTTTGTTCAATTAAAATTCAAAAGCCTACTGTGAGCAAGACCATTAATGCTTTAGAATTAAAAAAAAGAAACTACGTGTTGTTGTTTTTGTCAGCGTAATTAATTTAAGAAAGACGCATTGATTTATGTAAACTACAAAAGTACATGGACATGTATCACCAGTGATCGCAACAAACTTTTTAAAAGTCAAAGTTCGTATCTCATTCACTGATATGCAAATTTGACATGCAATCTTTGCAGGGCCCTCGCGTTGTAGTATTGTACGTACTTCATTCACGGAATTTTCCAACAGCTCTCGCACGCTAAAAAATCATATGAAGACCCTGGGATACCGATTGAAACACATGATTCTCATTAAAGCCTACAGTGAAATTAAAATCATAGTGAAAATGCAAAAACACATTATCGGTTGACCAAAGTTGATGGTGTACGACTGGGGCTTGGCTCTGATCCCCGTACAACTCGGGGGTCAACTTGACACTGCCGCAATCTGTGATGGGCGAAAATGTTCCGTGGTTTAATATCGCTTTAGAAAAACCAAATTACAATCAAAAGAATCTAGAAAACAAAAATGGATTTAAAACAGCAAAGCACCCGAAATATTGTACGTGTGTACATTCAATGAAGGTAAGCGGCGATTAGTTTCATTCATTTCCCAGTCTGCAGAGCCCGGCCCATCACTACTGAGAGATTGAATCAAAGCGATGCGAACGCCCGGTGCGAACGATCCAGTGTTGCCAATGGCAAGCTAACCAAATTGCCACTGGCATTTTAAACACACCATCCTGTACATCAAATATAACTATGAACTAAAAAAACAAACAATTTATGAATATACACTAAATAACTATTGTATTCTAATTACCAACCTTGTCATCTCGTCACCCTTCATTTCCACCACGGTTCCGGCTACAGACACAAATGACATTACAACATTAAAAACACACGTCGGCTAACAATTTCAATAATAACACACGAAACGGAAACAATTTCTTCAAACTTGCCCTGAATCTTCGACATTTTGCTGGATAATTGCTATAACAAATCGTGCTGAATATTAAATCTCGCGCAGTACCAATATACACGGCTTCTCGGTCGCGTGTCAACGAAGGGAAAAGTCCAGGCAGGAAGTACCACTCCAAATCTCGCGAGGTTTTGCTTACAACCGGGAAGTTAAAAATGGCGACCAAAAGAAAAGTAGACAGTCAAGTCCCGGCGGAAGAAAGCGACCGTCTTATTATTAGGCCGCTGTGAGTATATTATTCAATATGTTTTACTACAGCAGCGCAGAGTGTGTTTATAGATCTATATAAAGCTGCTGAATAATATATCTCTAGCATGCAGTCGAAGTCGTGTGCAGCGTTCGACTGCATCATTGTACACTGTATTTTATAACAACATAGCAAACACGTGTTTGGACGGCAGAATCGCCACCAATCACTCGCCCAATCCGCATATTTTAAATTTAGAAGAAGATTATTTGCCGTTGTATGAAAACAAACTTATTTAGTGTTTGGACATGTGCGAGGTGGTTGTTTACAAGTGCTCAAGTTTATATATGGAGGGGGGGGGGGGGTTACATATGACTACAATCAATGATTCCCGGCCAGATTCTAACTCGAACTCGGCCAGTTGTAATCTGTGGTCAGATGACACAAGTTTAAAGGGGCACCTACCAGTTAAGATTAATTTTACAACAAATTTACTTTCTGGATTAAAATAACAATGGATAACAAAAGATAGATTAACATTGTAAACAACATAAACAATAGTGTCCCATGATTCTTTGGTGCAATCCAAGGGATTGAGCGGTTCCCCTTTAAACTATATGTAACACTACACGCCCAACAACGCTACTGTTCTCCGAAATGTTGTAGATTTGAATTATTTACCGAGACTGTTGTCGATTTCATTGACGCAAGTTTACAGACACAGACATTACATCGGAAACACATACATTGAATTGACGACCCTCTGGCTCTGCTATGTAAAAACAACACGAATAATACTGGTCACCCATGTATTGTTTAGTATTTAATTTTTAAGTTTTGAATAAGATAGTCATACATTCGTTGTGTATTTAATATATTAACATTAGATATGAACACATATTAAATATGATTTACCTGTTTTGGGGCCAGAACGTCTAAACCAGGGCCGGATCGTCTTTTTTTACCTGGGCCGCAATTGGCTAGGGCCGGATCGTCTAGAAATCGACCACTGAATATGTCTACAATACATGACCATTTTTGCTGGTTCGAACCTGTAGGGCTCTGACAAAATGTTGTCGTGTAAACGCAACAAACATAATTTTACTGTTATGCATCTTGCTTTAGCTGTTAGATTGAGAGATTTGTCGCAGAGTAAACTTTGTCTAGATAGTTATTTTTAAGAATGTTTATTTGTTCGTTGAACAGTGAAATACAAATGCTCAGATATGATTGGTAGATGTTATATCAAAATAGAAACTTGTGAACAAATATTCCCAATACAGTCAACTACAGTAATTTGTCAGTTGTTCACAGTATCTTAATGCATTTGAATATATGTTAATTTGATACATCAGTGTGATTCTGTGTGTTTTTAATATGATAAAGAATGCTTACCCCAGTCCCTATAAGCATCTTTGACATTGCGCCAAGATTAACCAACTTGATTGTTTATATATTGCTTTGTTTTTTCATTCTCAGTGGAGCCGGACAAGAAGTTGGCCGATCATGTATTATGCTAGAGTTTAAAGGGAAAAAAATTATGGTAAGTTAGTAACTAAATATATGTGTGGTTGGCCTTGCTTAAATTTGTTGTTTAAGAGAAAATGTTGTTTTGTACCAGATTACGAGGGAGAAGTTTCACAACCTTTGAGGATTGAGATCATTTGCTGCATTATCAACTCGTGTCAACATCTTGTTATTCAACTTGAGGGCTCTTGCTTTATATATACCGTAAAATCTGTATTAGAAGCCGCATCCCTAATACAAGTCGCACCAATTCCTTTTGAACAATTGAGAACTAAAAATTAACCATTTCTCATATGTGTAGATGCTTGCATCCCCTCTGTTGCATTGTACCATTTTAATAAAAGCTGAGGCTTCAAATACAGATTTGACAGTACTTTTATTATTCTCTACAGCTTGACTGTGGAATTCATCCAGGTTTAAGTGGTATGGATGCACTGCCATATTTTGATTTGATAGAACCAGATGAGATTGATTTGTTACTTATCAGTCAGTAAGTATTTAGTATTATATTTCAAACATCTGTACACCGGAAATCTGTCTAAACCAAAAACTTTGTGATGTTTTTAATCTTCATTGCATGTTAATCAAAAGTAACATTCTTTGGGGAAATTTTGCAGTGCTTTACTAAGAACCTTTAGTGTCAGGTATAAGTGTTCGCGCTTAGCTCTGTAGCACGGGCTAAAAGGTCGAAAACGTTTGCCCATGCTAAGAAAATGTTCGTGAACAGTGTCCATTTGGAAGATTTACTTTTATATTCATAACTATTCATTTTGGTATGCCATTTCCAACATGAAAATGAACACAAGTACAACTCAAAACATTGTTCTTGAGAAAAAAATTAACAGAATGATTTACTTATCAGTATTTGTTCATCATTGTTCTTATATTAAAATTTTAGTTTTCACTTGGATCATTGTGGCGCCTTGCCATGGTTTCTTCAGAAGACTAATTTCCAAGGGCGTGTCTTTATGACTCATGCTACAAAAGCCATCTATAGGTGGCTGTTGTCTGATTACGTCAAAGTTAGGTAAGTTGACAGTGACTGGATTTCGTAATACACTAGTCTACCTTATACCTAGCATCGCTTTCCATGTATGATGCTTTCCCACCAATTCCTATTAACAAATCTGAGTGTGAATTTTTGATTTTTATGCTCCTCAGGAAATGTGCTACTTGATCAAATATTTTTTGTGTTTTCAGTAACATCTCAACGGAGCAGATGCTGTACACTGATAACGACTTGGAAAACAGTATGGACCGTATTGAAACCATAGACTTTCATGTAGAAACTGAAGTACTTGGAGTCAAGTTTTGGTGTTACAATGCAGGCCATGTGTTAGGTGCTGCAATGTTCATGATTGAAATTGCTGGCGTCAAGGTAAGAGTTTTATTTTGTGGAAAATTTGCCTGAAAACTCACAGAATTTAGTAGTTAAGTGTGATGCAAGACTGCAAAATAAACATACCAGGAATTATTTCTGTTCTGGGCAAAATAATTTTTAAAACTGGGTTTGAAATTATCAACAATTGGAATAATTTTAAATTTTCAGTTTTTACTTGATTGCATACAACATGGTTACTAAAAAAGATGGTTAGAAAATGCTATTGTTAAAGGTGTGAATCTGCCTAATCCTTCAAGGATGTGTGGCGCGCTGTGTACGCCCTCTATCGATTGAGATTTTAAGGCCCACCATTTTGTTTCTTTCTTGTTTTGATCACTTGATGTCCCTCGAATTTGAAATTTTCAGCTCGTTTTATATCCACGTTGAGGACAAGCTCAACGAAGAACTGTACTTACATTTCGGATGAGTACTATTTGTGACTGATAACATTCATAATCGAGAATCATCATTTATCGTTTTTACTGTAACCATGCATACAATTACTGTAGATTGTATATAAATTTCATTTGTTCACACACTATTTTGAATATCTAATTGTAACTATTTGTATTTCTAGTTACTATACACAGGAGATTTTAGTCGTCAAGAAGACAGACATCTAATGGCAGCTGAATTGCCATCAGTTAGACCTGATGTACTCATCATCGTAAGTATATTCTCTAGTTATTTACATGCAGTTCTAATACTGTATATGCTTGGGGGTGGAGCTACGTTACAAAACGTTCTGTGGTTTCTAAGACATGCACCACTGTACCTAGTATTTCAATGGGTTCTGCGCAAGATGCTGTGGAACACTGGTCCAAGAGCCAAAAAGCACAAAATCAACAATTGTGACAATCCTGAAATTTATATATGTTGTGCATATACACTGCTCACAAGAGTCTCTACAACTAGTCAAAAGTACAGTTTTTTTTGAGAGTTTTCAACCATCGTTTTCACTAGTTGTGGTTGTCTGGCAGTGAAAATGCCTCGCTCCCAAAAATAGAAATTAGATGGCATTTTTTCTGCATTCCTTCCATCTTTGTCTGTTACTATAGTTTTAGTTGTATAAAATGGCCGTTGTAAATAGCAGTAAAATTGGTGATCTGATTTGTGAAATATTGAATCTTTTCTATAGGAATCCACCTATGGTACACATATACATGAGAAAAGGGAAGAACGAGAAGCTCGTTTCACTGGTACAGTCCATGATATAGTCAACAGAGGAGGTAGATGTCTAATTCCAGTCTTTGCATTGGGAAGAGCACAAGAGTTGCTGCTTATATTAGGTAAATTATTAGGTATTAGGTAATTTTGGGCCAAATAAACATAATTACCAACTGACTACAAGTATTAATCACAATTTGGAAAATTTATGCAGAATTTTGTGGAAAGTACAAAAATGTACTTTGTTTCTTAAGTAACTTGTGATATACATTTAAGTACTTTCCAATATTATCTTTCATTAGAGTTGTGTCATGTATTTGCTATTTTCATTTATGTGGTTTCTATCGTTAATTTGTTTCTGTTGTTTTCTCAGATGAATATTGGGCTAATCACCCTGAATTACATGATATACCGATATACTATGCGTCATCGTTAGCTAAGAAATGTATGTCAGTTTATCAGACATACATTAATGCCATGAATGACAAGATAAAAAGACAGGTAAGACAATTCCACGGACATCATACGATTCAAGTTTCCTAGGCAGTGTCTGTTTGTACATTGCACAATAAATATACAATAATTCTGCAGTTGAGTCAAAGCATATATACAAGACAGAATTTGATTCGTCAAAAAACTGTCAACAAACAAGGTGTTCTTTGATTGGTCCAACTCTTAGGCGTTAGCCTTAGATACCCAACCAGACACAGTCAGTGGAGTATATCATTCTCCAACTCTTAGGCGTTAGCCTTAGATACCCAACCAGACACAGTCAGTGGAGTATATCATTCTCCAACTTTAGATGATTTAAATGATTGATATGTTTCCTTATTTTCGTGTTCAGATTACTATCAGTAATCCATTTGTATTCAAACACATTTCCAACCTGCGTGGTATGGATCATTTTGATGACATTGGACCGTCTGTTGTGATGGCCAGCCCTGGTATGATGCAGAGTGGACTGTCCCGTGAACTCTTTGAGAGCTGGTGTACTGATAGAAGAAATGGTGTAATTATTGCTGGCTACTGTGTGGAAGGAACACTTGCTAAGGTAAGGTATTGCTACGAAGTGATAGTGGTTGCTTACTGCAGGAAAAGATAGATCACATGCAATTGCTACTTATAGATTAATGAAGCCATGTGTGCATCTGTACATACATTTTGCACGTAAACATTGTAATAATGGTAGCATTTCAATTGAGTAGTCAACTTGACACAAAATATTTGACTTAAAAGATCATCTACCTGGTTACATTATATAATAAATGATTTTTGTTGTTCACATTTGGTATGCAGAATTGGATAACTACAATCATGAGTCAAGTTTGGAAAAACTTACTTTTGTTATAGAATTGGTGAGAATACAAATGTAACTGTAAATACTATTATTATATTATACCAGTGTATTATGCCTGCATATGCACAATTGGTTAAAAGAGTTCAATGCACTCTCATTAATGATTATGGTTATCTAAAGTAGACCCCAGATTATGAATAGCAAATATTGATACTAAATCATTATCTGTTGAAAATTAGCTATAAATTTGTATTATGCAACTTGTGCATGCATGTCATGAATTGTGTTGTATCCCATAGTAAACCAATTTTTGGGGGGCTATTTTTGCTCAATTATACTGCTAATATATGCAAGAGAGACTGCATCATAGTGATTGAACATGGCTATGGCTGTGATAGCAAATGTACCATCTTTTCTGTGTGCATGATGAGTTCTATTGATTTACATATAACATATGAGGCAGAAATAAGCTTGTTAAATCACTGATTCAGTCAGTCTCACATTTGTTGCACTCAAATTTTGTTTATTTTATATTTTTACTGAAAATGATCACAAATTCTGCCTGCTAGACAATGCCTGTTGAGTTCTATTGAGTACTAGTATTATTTTTTCCCCATTATTAGCATATCTTATCTCAGCCAGAGGAAGTGACCACAATGTCTGGACAGAAATTACCACTTAAGATGTCTGTAGATTATATATCATTTTCAGCTCATGCAGATTACCAACAAATCAGTGATTTTATACGTAAACTGATACCACCACATGTTGTAAGTATTCTTTCACCTTTATCATCTTAGCTTTTCAACAATGTAAATAATTTGACCGGCCCCTATTTCCTGTCATCAACACATTAAAATTACTACTTTTGGAGAATGGCTTTTTAAATAAGTTTGATGTTCAAGTAATGCTCTAAAATATCTGTTTATTTTATGAAAATATCATAGAGTACATTCATTCATTCATGTGTAGAGTACATATCTACATGCAGTGTTTTATTGATTTCAATCAAGATGGCCAACTGGCAGCCATTTTGTTTTTTGGAAAATGTGGTATAACATTTCCCATAATTGCAACTGGGACTGTGTTATTAACAATGACTTATGTTGGAAATATATTAATTCTTAATGCTCAGTGACATGATTTAATACATTATTATCTCTTGCAGATTTTAGTGCATGGTGAACAGAATGAAATGGGACGTTTGAAAGCCGCTGTGGTTCGTGATTATGAAGACAGTGATATTGACTTGCAGGTGCACAACCCTAAGAACACACAGGCTGTGGAGCTCTATTTTAGAGGAGAGAAAATGGCTAAGGTAATAAACCTGGTTTATGTCTAAGCAGTTCTGATGTTTAATACCATTTTTTTAGTTTTCTGTGTGTACTCATTAGTTCAATGAAACTGTGCGTAACAGTCAATAATTTGCATAATTATTAGCCATTTGTCTGTTTGACCTCAAAGTAAACCACTCAATGATTTCAATGTAACTTAGTACATAGGTGGTCTGGTCAGCTTTCTGATAGTAAATCTTTTTTGCATGGCTGGGCATGGCAGGGCTCATGTAACCTTAGCATTGAATGATCTTTTGCAGGATTAATGATTTGATAATTAATTTGCTATTCATCTCATTGTGTCAGGTGATGGGTAGTTTGGCATCTAAGAAACCTGAACATGGTCACAAAGTATCTGGAATATTAGTCAAAAGAAACTTCAACTATCATATAATAGCACCATCAGATCTTGGAAGTAAGCAGCCACAGTCTACTACTTTCTTTGTTAAATGCAGTGGTTGTGTATTTGATATGATTGTTGTCGTGCTATGCATGTGCCAGATATAGGTCTTGTACAAACTTTATGCAATAATCACACTTCTGTATAAACAACTTTGAGTGTTTCGCAGATCAGAGTGTGCAAGAAAACAGATGGCACCCAGGTGTTTATAGGGGAATTACAGTCCGTTTAAAGTTCCCTAATCGCCATGAGCATTGTGTCGATTTTGCTGAGATTAAAACTTACATGTACTTTGCTGCCATATTAAATTCTTAGTAGAGCGCTGTTGAAAAATCGATTTATCAACACAAATCTTGCACATGTGTGGCACAATGACCTTTGCCCTTTAACACAAAAGTTACTAGATACTTGGTGTAAGATTTCACACATACTTTTACCTTCAGTTTCTATTTCAGTTATGCATGAACAGATTATATTTAGTGTGAACATATACTGACAGAAATCAAGACAGTGTACACACCCATAAATAATGAATGAAACAAGTGAATAACAAAAATTCTTAGATAAGGACTTGTGGTTTGCCCTGTGTACGTCCGTGCACCCGTGCGTCCGTGATCACCTGTATCTCGAACATGCATGAACCGATTGAGTTCAAACTTCACTCATCCATCACATATTATATGGGACATATGCACATGCATTTTTTTTCATAATTCGATTAACGATAGCCGAATAGCGGCTATTTTAAGGCCGAAAATGCTTTGAAATTGCACATTTTCACCATTCCAGACCCGGATCTCAGTTATGCATGGACGGATTTTGTTCAAATTTGGTACATACATTAAACATAATAGGACCTTGATGCACGTCATTTTTTTCCCGGATCAAGTTCGAAATGGCCGACTGGCGGCCATTTTGTTTTAAAGAATTCAGTTCTGGATCCGTATCCGAGACATGTCTGGATTGATCAAGTTCAAAGCTTCACACACACATGGTAGATCATGTCACAAATAGACATGTGCATTTGTTTCATGATCCGCTTAACAATAGCTGAATGATGGCCATTTTAAGGCCGAAAATGCATCAAAATCTTGTATTTTCACAATTCCGGAACCGGATCTCAGTCATGCATGGATGGATTTTGTTCAGATTTAGTGCATATATTAAACATAATATAAGCTTGATGCACACCAATTTTTTCGTCGGATCAAGTTCAAAATGGCCGACTGGCGGCCATTTTGTTTTAAAGAATTTAGTTTTTGATCCATATCTCGGACATGCCTGGACAGATCAAGACCACACTTCACACACATCATACAATGTGTTGTACATATGCAGGGACATTTCGGATCAGACCACTGAAAGTGGTCTGAGATTTCGGTCATGATCTGCTTTGAATGTATATGTCACTCAAATATGACTTGTTCAATATTAAGTTCTGATGTTGTTAATTTCTGCGATTTTGTTGACAGGTTACACTGACTTAGCTGTGAGTACGGTGACGCAGCGTCAGAGTATCGCTTACAACGCTCCACTATCGTTGTTAACATACTACCTCACTCAGCTGTCTGGTGATATTGAACACACGGAAGTCCATGACAAACCGGCATTGAGAGTATTCAAACATGTCATAGTCATACACGAGGCAGCACTTGGCATGGTGACAATGGAGGTAGGTGGTTGATATTGCCATGAATGACAAGCATGTATATTAATACTAATGCGGAATAGACACTGTTGCATACTCAGTAACTCAAAACCACTTTCTTAATGTCAATTCCTATTATAGTGGGTTGCTAATGCCGTAAATGATATGTATGCAGACGCTGTCTTATCAGTAATTCTCAAAGTAGGATCAGACCCACAGGCACAGAAAGGTAAGTCATTTCATAGCTGTAAACTGATTCACAATAAAGATTTATTTATGTAGTGTATGTGGTGCACTTTCTCTCAAATAATGAATCAAGGGTTTAGTTTACTCAGATAATGCTTTTTATAGTATGTTTAATTGTAAATATAAATTACAGGCATATTAAGAACATGTAAACACATAAGACAAGATTCAAACTCACTCTTTCAATTTCAGTTAAACCAGCTCAGCCAATCAATGATGTTTTATATGCGGAGAGATTGACCAAATTACTGAAGGACATGTTTGGTGAGCAATCCATCCGCAGGAATGTATTAGGAAATGAAATCATGGTAACTGTGGATAACAAAACTGCTAGGGTACATGTAAATACTTTGGTAAGTTCAGTAAGCTAGTATTCATGGAAGGTTCAAAGCAACACTATAGAATTCCTGTTTAATCTTGCACCAAATCTTGGGCATGCATATACTCCAATAAACTTGGCACATAAATCAAGGGTCTCTGATGCATGCCATTTTTTTTATGGATCTGATTTGAAATGACTGACTGACAACCATTTTGTTTTCCAAAGTGCTGTTTCAGAGCCATATCTGTGAGATTGTAACCACATATGTCATTTTCTTTTGCAGGACGTGAAGTGTGAAGAGGATGAGAGTCTATTTCAAATGGTTTCATCAGCTGTACTCGGCTACACAAGCTCTCCATACTCCCTAGTTTCATCGGCTGTTACCTGGCTACACCAGCTCTCCATACTCCCTAGTTTCATCGGCTGTTACCCGACTACACAAGCTCTCCATACTTCATAGTTTCTCCAGCTAAACCCGGCTGAACCAAGCTCTTTGTAGTTTCATCAGTTGTTACCCGGCTACACCAAGCTCTCCATACTCCATAGTTTCTCCAGCTAAACCCGGCTGAACCAAGCTCTTTGTAGTTTCATCAGTTGTTACCCGACTACACCAAGCTCTCCATACTCCATAGTTTCTCCAGCTAAACCCGGCTGAACCAAGCTCTTCGTAATTTCATCAGCTGTTAGCCGACTACACCAAGCTCTCCATACTACATAGTTTCTCTAGCTGAACCAAGCTCTTCGTAGTTTCATCAGCTGTTAGCCGACTACACCAAGCTCTCCATACTACATAGTTTCTCCAGCTGAACCAAGCTCTTCGTAGTTTCATCAGCTGTTACCCGACTACACCAAGCTCTTCATACAACATAGTTTCATCAGCTAAATCCGATTAAACCTAGCTCATCATAGTTTCATCAGCTGTTACTCGGCTACACCAGCTCTCCATATTCCAGTCTTATCAGCTGTTACCTGGCTACACGAAGCTCTCCATACTCTGTAATTTCATCAGCTGTTACTCGGCTACACCAAGCTCTCCATACTCCATAGTTTCATCAGCTGCTACCCGACTACACAAAGCTCTCCATATTCCAGTCTTATCAGCTGTTACCCGACTACACCAAGCTCTCCATACTCAATAGTTTCATCAGTTGTTACCCGACTACACCAAGCTCTCCATACTCCATAGTTTCATCAGCTGTTACCTGGCTACACCAAGCTCTCCATACTTTGTTGAGAGCCTTTTGTTATACCTACAGTTTTTGTATCAACTCACCATGAGTTGTCTTTGGACAAACCATGGTTTTTGAATCAATGCCTCGTTCGTTCGTCTTTTAACTAGTCATCTCATCTAAGCTGTTCATTGATACCCGATATGACAGCAAGTAGTAGACAAAGCTCATTATTGTATTAGTTTTTTTAAATCATCATACCAAGCCTTCAACTATCAAAGATATGCTTTCAAATTGGTATTATTCAGTTTATGTATGAATGCACACCAGCATGTTAGCAACCATCACATGGGACTCACCATTCCATTCATTTGCAACTATAATGGCAGTGTGTGTGGAATACTGAGATGAATAATCTTTACTGCTTCCAATAAGGATATATTCACTGTCTGTATATATTTATTTTGTATTTTTGAGTTGAAGACTGCCATACACTAACACAAATAATAAAAATTTGTTATAAAAACCAGTATTATTATTTTGTGTTTATGACTGTTCTTTGGTCATGTTGCTCTGTGTCTCCTAGTTACATATCTGTGTTTCCCAATTATGTGGCTGTGTTTTCCAATTATGTGGCTGTGTTTCCCAATTATGTGGCTGTGTTTCCCAATTATGTGGCTGTGTTTCCCAATTATGTGGCTGTGTTTCCCAATTATGTGGCTGTGTTTCCCAATTATGTGGCTGTGTTTCCCAATTATGTGGCTGTGTTTCCCAATTATGTGGCTGTGTTTCCCAATTATGTAGCTGTGTTTTCCGATTATGTGGCTGTGTTTTCCAATTATGCGGCTGTGTTTCACCATTATGCGGCTGTGTTTTCCAATTATGTGGCTGTGTTTTCCAATTATGTGGCTGTGTTTTCCAATTATGTGGCTGTGTTTTCCAATTATGTGGCCGTGTTTCCCAATTATGCGGCCGTGTTTCCCAATTATGTGGCTGTTTTTCAGTATTATGTGGCTGTTTCCCAATTATGTGGCTGTGTTTTCCAATTATGTGGCCGTGTTTTCCCAATTATGTGGCTGTCTTTCCCAATTATGTGGCTGTGTTTTCCAATTATGTGGCTGTGTTTCCCAATTATGCGGCTGTGTTTCACTATTATGTGGCTGTGTTTACCAATTATGTGGGTGTTTCCCAATTATGTGGCTGTGTTTCCCAATTATGTGGTCGTGTTTCCCAATTATGTGGTTGTGTTTCCCAATTATGTGGCTGTGTTTCCCAATTACGTGGCCGTGTTTCCCAATTATGTGGCTGTTCCCCAATTATGTGGCCGTGTTTCCCAATTATGTGGCTGTGTTTCCCAATTATGTGGCTGTGTTTTCCAATTATGTGGCCGTGTTTTCCAATTATGTGGCTGTCTTTCCCAATTATGTGGCTGTCTTTCCCAATTGTGTGGCTGTGTTTTCCAATTATGTGGCTGTGTTTCACAATTATGTGGCAGTGTTTCACCATTATGTGGCTGTGTTTCACAATTATGTGGCAGTGTTTCACAATTATGTGGCTGTTTTTCCAGTTTAATTGTTGTCAACTCCCCCCTAGACTCGAAGCGAGTTTGATTGCATTGAGTGACAGGTGGTGCCTGGATGCTGTTCAACCTCTTGCTGGGGCAAGTCAACACGTTTCCCACAACACAGAATGGCAAAAGATGGGTTTATGCATGTGCAACACTGCCAAACTGCAATACCTTGTGACACACAGTCAAGTAGCTGGGAGAGCCTCAAAGCTCTATTCCTGTTGATAGTGGCAACATGGAAATACTTTACCATTCTGGCCGAATGCAGGCATTTCTCTTGCTGAGAGTGGTGCTTGGTTTTTTAGGGCCACTTAGATGGTGCTCATATTTCTCCAACCTAACTACCCACTAACCAGAGCCAATGCGGGTATTACCTTGACCACAGACCTTAAAAGACGGTCTTTTAAGGTCTATGCCTTGACTTTTGTTTACAACACCAATTGTTTCCACCCTTTTATAACTCACTTATTTGTTGTACTATGTGGCTAATACTGTTCATCTACTGTTGGAAATACCAGGACTACTAAGATTAGTCCGATTGAAGCCACCACTGTGGAAACCAATGCTAAAAAGTCTGCAAAGAGAATTGTGAGAAAATGGCCTGCTTTTCTTCGGAATTCAGTCGTCCAAGGGCCAGTAAATCTGTGAAAAGAATGCTTGGATCTCAGACACTTCTGGAAAAAATGATAATGGTGTTGTAAAGTGTAAGAGACTATTCCTGTAAATTAATTGGCACTCCACCTTCATTTCGTCTGGTGAAAAAAAAAGTTCTGGAAACAAAAGAAATGAAATATTGTATATGTAGTAAAACTAGCACTGTCGAATTGTTTCAGGTGAAGTGGGGAGACTTTACCTAATGTTTGTTTGTTCATCTTACAATCCACAAATTTTTAATACAATTGGAGTTACTTGGTAATCTGTCTTCATTATTTGTTGTTTTTGTTTTGTTTTCTTTTTTTACTTTTTTTTTTTTGTATTTATTAAAGTCCTGTAACTGTTTGTTTATGAGTAATAAATATTTATCAAAAAAAAAAAAGTGTAAGAGGCATTTAAAAAAAAAACATTGCCATCTTCTGTATCCGATGAGCCTAAGGTGGCTCAGTCGCCATTTGTCCCTGTGTACATGCGGCATTGATTACTGTTGGGGTTTGCATTATTTCAACACAGCCAAGATAAATATGGAGTGCAACCCTTAACATACTCCTATATATTGTATTCGAGAATGGGACCTCGTTAATTGGCCAGAGAACTGCCAAGCAACCACACAACTAAGATAATGGTCAGGCAACTACAAAACTAGCACTAATAGTGAGTGGTTGTGGGATGTTATGATGGTACCGGTGAGTAACACAGCAGCGAGACGAATCGTTGAAGAGTTTGTTGCTGCCTGTTGAATTACGTCTTCTGCATTTGGTTAAGGAACCAGGCTATGCTGGAAGGTAGTTTATGTTGTCACCAGTCATACTGCTTTGCCTTCTTTCAACCACTGCCACTGGCGGATCCAGAAATTCGGTAAGGATGGGGGGGGGGGGGGGGGCTTCTATTGACGTGGTATTCGGCCACGTCCGCGCACCTCCGCTTGTTTTGTCTATTGATTTGTCTTTTTTTTTTTGCGGGCTGAAGGGGGGGGGGGGCACCCCTGAATCTGCGCGTGACTTTGCGCATCATCCGGGGTATGTGTGTATATCATTTTGTTTCTTTGTTATGTCTGGAACCCAATACTCGCTCTTGGAATAGACAATGTCATTTCTCAGTTGCCCGCCGATTTAACCAATGTTATTCCTGTTTTCTCGCAGCAAGTTGCATTCATGCAACCATTCTTGTTCGCAATACTTATAGCATGCATAAAAGTGACTAACATTTACAGGCTAATAAAATTAATAGTTTTGTAATTAAATAAAGAAAATGTATACTAATTTTTTAATTAACGTTGAGATTCTTTGAGTACATCCTTATCCTCATTACATGATGCTGCCCTTCAACTCAGGTTCATGGATATCGACTGACTCCATGACAGTATATTGCATAGTTCTTCGTTATTGTAAAACGTCTGAACTTCTGAAGTGCCAAACATCAAACGTGCGCAAATATGTTGGGATATTCCTCTCTCTATTCAGATGATTGTGGGTTTTTCCTCTGATTTGAAAAAGAACGGCGAAAGAGTGAAGCAACCTACGAACAGCCATTTCGTTTGGAGTGGTTGCAAATGTCAAATTTTATAGTGAGAATTGTATTCAATGTCAGCAGTGTGTGCTGGACGGACTTTTTTTTCATGAAGAACAACCTCACTCCTTTGACACCACATGGAAACGTCTTTCTAGACAATCGTCAAATATAATGGATTTCAGTTATTGAAGGGTTATTACTCCAGTCTGAATCTGTTAGGTATGTTGTGAAAGTAACTGTAACTGGGTTCTTCGTCATCGTAAACGTCATTATCATCGCCACCGGCTTTTCATGGTTGTAGGCTCAACTTGTGCGCTGTTTTTTATGTAGTCTCGGCTATATTACATAAATCATAAAACCAGCCTGTGAATGTTATAGAGTTTAGCCTATCTAAATTCATATGTACACAATATGAACATAACATATAACAACATGTCGTAGTTTTCGGAAGATAAAACTAATGCCATTCCTATTCAATAAAAAATGCAGCAACAGCAAATATTACACTGTCAACAAACTGCGATTAAACCTCGATTAAAATGTCTGGCCTTAAAATGTAATACTAGTAAACAAAGCCAAGTGGGTTATTTCGTGAATCGTTATAGCATTCATGCGCACATTACCTCATCGTGTTCTAGGATGAATAGTTATATTTCTAATGAAATAAACTGTACTTACTATTCGAAATGGGCGTAATAATCCATGTTCGCTATTAGCCCTCTGGAGGCAAAATTATGCTATGAATAATCTGCTCTTCGTCTTGTAAACCCGTTTTGTACGGCACATATTATTTTTTATTATTATCAGAATGTATTTATTGATTTCAAGTGTCATGTACAATCGCCCATAAACCTTTTTGTTTGCCTTAATTTCTGTAAAATCTATAAAAAGTGATTTTTCCCGAAAAAGGAGCCCTAGAAACTCATAATAATCTAAATGTATATAACTTTTACAGACTGTCACAATATTCTGTTTGTTTTTGACGAATTTCACTGTAATTTCAGCGAATGTATTATTTTGAAATTGTTATAAAACAACAAATAGTTCTCAGTCACGTCCCCAACTCTTTGTATGAATTCGTAGACATTGGATACTTCTACTTACGATTGTATAATATCGATTAATAGATTTTATAATTACTGTAATTAACACGTTTAATGACTCGTGAATTATTAACCAATCAATCAACATGTTTATGAGGTAATGTATATCAAATTAAATTGTTAATTAATTGTCTCTTGTATTTTATTTATCAGTACATATGAAGTGACGTGAATTACGAACCACATCACGCACTCGACGTTATGAAAGGAATGTCGTAATGTTCCATGGGAAATTGACAGATATTTCGACACCCGCTGTAACAGATATCAGTTATTTGCCCGCCACGAATACAATGATAGACAATATACTACCCAATAATCCCGTCACTAATACAATGATTGACCATTATATTACCCAGTCAGTCCGTCACAAATACAATGATAGACCATATATTACCCAGTCAGTCCGTCACAAATACAATAATAGACCATATATGACCCAATCATCCCGTCACGAATACAATGAAAAACAATATACTACCCAATAACCCCGTCACTAATACAATGATAGACCATATATGACCCAGTCATACCGTCACGAATACAATGATAAACCATATATGACCCAGTCATCCCGTCACGAATACAATGATAGACCATATATGACCCAGTCATCCCATCACGAATACAATGATAGACCA